CCCTCCCTCATCCAGGGGCAGAAACCCACACCCAACGGGCTCTGTGGGGTTACCCAGCTCCCCTACCCAGTACTGGGACCCCGGCTGAGAAGAAGAATCAAAACCCCTCAGTTTTGATTCCACTCCTGGTCTTCCAGGGAGAAATCCTATAACAGACTAGGAGGCCACGCTCCGCTCCTTCATCTGAGAGCCGAGAGGCCAGGGCTGCAATGGAAGAGACAGGGAAGAGGGGCCAAAGGGGGAGGGAGGTGGAAAAATGAAATTTTGCGTGATCAGCAAGGTTTCAAACAATCGCTCGCCAACTGAAGTGGGTGCCACGTCTATAAGTCATTCTGTTTTATAGACCATTAGGATCTCCAGAGACAGCCGGCATGGAGGCCACTGCTTTTTGTTGAAATTAAAATGTCAGAGAAAAAGAAATAGAACAAAACAGGGAATCTGCAATTAATTACCAGGCCATAAAAATTCAATAATCAGGAGGCAGAGCGGCCGCAGGCCCAGAGGTATCAGAGGCAGCGTAACAAGAATGGAATACATTAATCTTTTCAAATTAGTTTTTTAATCTGACGGGGATATATAGTGACATGCCTCCCCTCCCCAGCGCTCCCCCCACCTTCACCCAGCTCCAGTCTGCAGCCAGGCTGGAGGGGGCGTGTGGTGTGAGCTGGGGGCTGGCCTGTAATGTGAACCCTCAGAGAGGGGAGCCCAGAGCCCCCCCATATTAGCTTGCCTAGGAGGGGCCTTACACTCATGCCAGGAAGGCAGGCCTCTTGCGGCCTGCTCCCATTGAGTCCCCTGCACAGGAGGGGCTCATGTGTGGTCCACTTTGAGAGTGAAGGGCAGTGAGATGGGGAATCTCTCTGAACTCTGGTTTCCTGCTCTGTAAAATGAGAATACCACCACCATTTCCAGGGCCCATGATGCATCTTGTCTGGTAATCAGCGAGTGCTCAGTGGAGGGGTTCGGTTCCAAGCCAGTGCACCCCATCTTCAGTCACCAGCCATCAGTGAGCTGTGATGATGCTCTCAGATATCTAGTGCTGTTGTGACAGTACTATCCCGCTTAGATGGCTTTAACCAACAGACATTTATTCTCTTACCACTTCACACACTCGTACTCATTGCTGTCCCTCCAGTGCATTTCAAAGGCTAGAAATTACAGGGGAGGAGAATGCTCATCTTTCTTCCTCAGAGAGGCTGGTGGATTCGAACCACTAGAGAGCCGTGGTCCTTAGACTCAGCAGCATAATTCAGTAGTAGAATCCACGCATCCCACAAGGATGGCCCAGATTTCATGCAAGTGAGAGTCCTTTCGGAGGTTACACGTTCAAACCCAGGAGTCAGCTCCAGGGCTAGGCTACACTGTCGGGTGCGGAGGAAAGTCCTGCGTCCTTCAGCATCCACAGGCCCAGAGTTCTGTGGAGATCTCCCAAGATCTGGATCTTCTTCAAAGCCTAGGAGGTTCCTCTCACAGGGAGCCAGGTCCAAAACGACACACTCTACCCGAGTATCATCTCTTGAGGGCATAGAGGTCTCTCAACCACCATGGTTCGCTTTGAACTCTCAACTCTAGTGACATAGAAGGTATTACAGGGTACAGCCTAGGGAAACCCCATTCACCAGAGTCCAGTCCTAAAATTAAAGGATGTTGCATTCCACCCTTAACCCTCCTTCAACTATTTGGCTTCTCAGATCACAAGGGATCATTATACAACGTCCACCTGTGTCCTGTACACATGTATTTGAGGGACACAATTCAGCCTGTGACAGATGGGGAACGGGTTTCAGTGGAGTTTTCAGACTAAGATGGATTAGGGAGAAGGGACGTGTTCATTTACTTCCAAAAATCAATCAGTGAAGACCCTATGGGGTGTTCTCAGACCTGAAAGCAGAGACTCAGGCAAACGCTTGTACACCAGTGTTCACACCATCACTAGTCATCAAGAGGTGGAAACATCTGGTGGCCTAGTGGCAAGAAGCTGCAACTATAGTCTCAGAGGTGCACGGTTCAAATCCACCAGGTGCTCTGCTGGAGAAGAAGGAACAATCTCCTCCTGTACCAGTCAGATCTGATTTGACGGTACACACAAAAAATAATGAAATAAAATAAATTTTTTAAAAAAAGAGGTGGAAACAGACTAAATGTCCATCAACAGATGGACAGACAGAATACACTCTGGTAGTGTGGTCTGTAGGGAGTTGTATGGCCCATCCAAAGGTGGTGCCAAATCCACCAGTGATTCCTTGGGACACAGATGGCCAATCTCCTCCCAAGCAGTGTACAGCATGTGAAACCCCCATGCAGGGTCAGCTATGAGTCGGTTCAGGTCCCACAGCAATAAGCATGAGCAGAAGAAATGAAATTGTAATACACGTCACAATAGGGAGAGAACAAAAAAAGTCAGTCACACAAGGACAAATATTTATTTCACTTACATAAAAAGACAAGAATAGACAAATGGAAAAAGACCAAAGGTCGTTAGTGGTTACCAGGGGTGGGGAGGTGAGGAGGTTTCTTGTTTACGTAGGATTGTGTTTCTGTTTCCAGCGACAACGGAAACCATTTACACTGATTTCAGGTGAGGTTGCACAAGTGAGTAACATCATTGCTGCCAACAAGTTGTACACCTGTAAAAAGTTGAATTGGCAAAAGTTATGTAATAGATTTATTTATAACAACAACAACGAAGGAGTAGCAGCTGAGACTGTTTAGACACAACCCAAACCTCGAGGGATCTGGGTCCTTGTCTAGAGGTTTAGGGTCATGACGTCATCCAAGTTCATTTGCCTAATAATGTGTTTAGACCTTCCGTTCCACCTTCTAGTTTGCTGCCTGGTGTGTGGGGTCTTAAAAGTTTGCAAACACTGAAGGTCCAACATAGATCTGAAGTAACCGGGAGCAACAGAGGATGAGGGAATTTCAGGAATCAGAGGAGGATATGGAATGTGTAGTAATATCTAAAATCACCTCCTTTGCCATGAGACCAGAACTGAATAGTGCCTCCTTACCATTACTGAACCAAAGAATTCACAGAAGAATCCTGATGAAAAGGGAGCAACTGCAGAACAGAATGTCAATTCTCACAAACCTCATTTTCTGGAGCCATATTGCCCAGTGAATCCCTGGAACTATTTTCCTCAGACCATCTCTAAGCCTTACACCCGGAGAACCCCCTCAAGTCTTCTGAAAACCAATTTCTTTCACTTAACTACGAAAGAATGTCTGCCTTCAGCATTGTTCTCTTCTAAGACTTATTTAACAGCATCAAATTGACAACAGCAACTCAGAAGACGAGATGGGAGATTTAGCAGCTTTCATTTTATGTTAACCACTAAGGAACAAATCAGACAAGGAGAGTGGACATGGCTGCACAACAATCAATGCCACCGATGTGCACATGTAGAAATGACTGTATTTCTGTGTGTTCTGCTGTGTGTTTCCTCAACAACAAAAATAATTACAAAATAAATAAATAAATAAATAAAATTCATTACAAAGAACGAAAACCCTATGTATCAATACAGTCTGCTCCAAGTCACGAGGATAGTGCAGGATGGAGGGACAGTGTTTCTTTCCATTATGCACAGGGTCACCACAAGGAGGGACAATCCCAAGGTAGATAATTACACTGTTAGGATTTTACTGTCACAGGCAGCTGAGCAAGGAGCCCTGAAGCTCTTCCAGGAAGCTTTCAGAGAACAGTCACTTCGCACCTGCTGTGTGCTCAGCAAGGTCAGTCCTCAAACAGAGTCATATTTATAGAAACGTTTCCAGGGCCAAGCCAGCCTCCGAGGTCAAAGGATGAAGGGCAAAAAGCTTCTTCCTAAGAACCTGCAAAAGTGGAGTCAGCTGGGGTCCACCCAGTACCCTCCCAGGGCACAGGGCATCAGGCCTCCCACTGACCCCTAGCCTGGGCCTGAGGCTTGGAGGAAGCCAGCTGACTTGTCAAAGGTCAGTCTCACTCCTGCCTCTGAGTACAGGCTGGACTTCACTCCATACACCTGCCACCATGTCACCTTCTACCTCCTGGAGGTGCTCCTTGGATCCCAGCAGTTCCAATCAGACCACGGTTTCTGTCCAGCTGACTCAAGCCTGGGCCAGACTCCTCTCTCCCTGACCCCCCAACAAGCCTGCCTCTGGGCTTTAACTCAAGGTCTGGTCAATGCCTTTACTAACTGGACGCATTCCTCTGCAGTACACCAGTGGAGGCCTTCAGCCTTCTTGGCTTTGGAGTCTTTTTAACGTAACATTTACAGCCCTCTGAGTGTAAGGCCTTCACATAGTAGGTCCCTGCTCCCCCAAGACTTCACCCTTCTTCACTCCATTTACTGAACACCTACTGTGTGCCAGCCTGGGTTTGGGATCTGGCTGGTGTCATTCACAATGCCTGAAGGAACCAGTACGCCCAGAGCACACTCCATCCATCCAACACCCAAGGCAGGATGCTAACTGTCCCTCAAACAGACCCGTGACAGCACTCTTGAGCTCTACTTCTCGATTGTGTCCCCCAGGCAGGTCCTTCTCTCCATCAACCTGATACCGCTGTGCATCCCAGGAAAAGCCCAATTCTCTTGGAGGCACTTTTACTTTGTATCACTTTCTACACGGATGCTATCCCCGCAACTACACATGGCCTCAGGAGAAACAGTGGCGAAAAGGAAGAAGCACAATCTAGAGAGCTGCTAACACTCGTTCCCGCTCCAGGTCCCCTCTCCAGAACCCAGTCGTCCCCGAACCACGCGGGATGGAGGAACCTTGACCGCGATAAAAGGCAAGCGCCCCGTCTTGGACGTAGTTCCGCGAGCAGCCACCAGATGGCCTTCGGCTCGCTTGGACTGGTCCAGAAACGAGATTGCGCGGCCGCGAGATGGCGCCCGAGGCCGCGGCTACGCGAGCTGAGCCTGGACAGGGCGGAGCCGTGCTGGGTGGCGGGTCCGAGTCCGGCCCGGGAGGCCCCGACTCACCACGTGATCCGGCCGCAGCTGCCTCCCGGCCGCACCATGACCCTGCCGGTGCCCCGGTTCTCTGTGCCCACCACGCTGGCCCTGGGCTCGGCCGCCCTGGGAGCTGCCTTCGCCACCGGCCTCTTTCTGGGTGAGCAGTGCGCGGGCTCGCAGGCTGCCGAGCGTGGAGGGCGGCGCGGGGGACGGTGTAGGGCCGGGTCCGGGAGCCGAGCCTGCGGATTCTCAGGGCTCGCGCCCTGATTGCTCTACCCTCCTCCAGGACGACGCTTCGCCCCGTGGTGGCCCCGCACGGAGAAGCGCCTGCTGCCCCCGGAGGACAGCCCCCTTTGGCAGTACCTGCGGAGCCGCTCGGTGCGGGAGCACCCAGCGCTGCGGAGCCTACGGCTGGTCAGCAGGGCGGGCCCCGCGTGGCTGTGCGCTCCAGGACATGGCAGTGGCCCTTTCTGGTCCCCGGGCTGGAGCGATGGGTGACCCCTGAGGACGTGTTCCCAGTCATCGCCGGCCACACCCACCGCCGCGGACACTGGGGGCCTGGGAGGGCGGTTGGCTGGGCAGGTGCGAACCTCTTTCTCCACACAGCTGACCCTGGAGCAGCCGCGGGGGGATTCCATGATGACCTGTGAGCAGGCCCAGCTTCTTGCCAATCTGGCGCGGCTCATCAAGGCCAAGAAGGCGCTGGACCTAGGTAGGAACACGTGGCTTGATTGGTGGGGGGCAACCTTCGCCGGGTCTGAGCATGTGGATGCCCTGTCCCCAGGTACTTTCACGGGTTACTCAGCCCTGGCACTGGCACTGGCCCTGCCCCCAGCCGGACGCGTGGTCACCTGCGAAGTGGACGCAGGCCCCCCAGAGTTGGGGCGGCCCTTGTGGAGGCAGGTGAGTGACCCACACACACACACACCGGCCCCATGGGGCATGGAGCCCGGCCTCATGGTGTGTCCCCCCTTCTGCAGGCGGAGGAGGAGCACAAGATCGACCTGCGGCTAAAGCCCGCGCTGGAGACCCTGGGTGAGCGTGGCAGGGAGCCCACTCTCCAGACGGGGCTCTGGTGGCCTGGCGGCGGGGAGGGACCGGTTCCACACTCCAGCAGGGGTACTGGTGGCCAGGCGGCAGGCTGAGGGAGCCGGGGTGGTATTCCCCGGCAGCCTGGCCTGCACCGGCCTTGTGGGATGCAGCACTTCCTGGTGGCGGCCAGGGCTAGGCGGGAGCGCACGGGGCCGACCTCACCCCCTCCTGTCCTTCCACAAGATGAGCTCCTGGCCGCGGGCGAGGCGGGCACCTTCGACGTGGCGGTGGTGGACGCGGACAAGCAGAACTGTGCTGCCTACTATGAGCGGTGCCTGCAGCTGCTGCGACCCGGGGGCGTCCTCGCCATCGTCAGTGTGAGGGTCGAGGGGAGACAGTGTCTCTCCAGGCTGGACCCTGTCCTTCCCTGTTCCTCCTCCTGTCTCAGAGCCCCACCCCAGGCTTCCCCCTGACAGGGATTCTTGGTGGCACCCCCATTCACAGCTGCGCCCACCCCACAGGTCCTGTGGCACGGGGAGGTGCTAAGGCCTCGGCAGCAGGACTTGGAGGCCCAGTGCGTGCGGAACCTGAACGAGCGCATCCTGCGAGACGCCAGGGTCCACATCAGCCTCCTGCCCCTGGGCGACGGCCTCACGCTGGCCTTCAAGATCTAGGGCTACCTCTCTCAAGGGAAGGACCTGGAGCTCCGGCCACCCACCCGCAGTTTAAACCAATAAAGCAGGGCCTGGAGCACACTCTACCGAGCTTGCGTGTGGCACTAACGCCCGGAAGGGAGAAGAGGCTCCTGAGGGCAGCTCGTCTGCAAAAGGGGGCCTCAGGGGACGTTTGAACCCCACCCCTGGACTTTACTGTTAACTGCTGTGAATGTATTCCAACTCATGCCCAAGTGCAGAGAATTGCTCTCCAGGGCTTTCAAGCTGTGGTCTTCCAGAATCTTCCAAGGTGCCTCCACTAGTCAAAGACGCTGTCACGAGGTGTCATCTAGTCGCCAATTCATAGGACCCTACTGGTCGAGTGCTAATCGTTTGTGCCACTCAACATCCAACAGACTGAGGGCTGGGTGTGTGCACTCCACCTTGTCCATGCTTTCTGAACAAGGGCAGGTGAAGTCCCTGTTCACTGCAGCAGGGACCACAGGGACACCAGTTCCAACCACAGCAGTGCAGGACAATGGGCACTTGCAGGTTGTGTCAGCCCTTCAGCCTCACTGGCAAGGGGCAACACTTTTTGAGAATCAGGCCACTTGACCTTAAGGTTGTATTTTCTACTTAAATATGTAATTTCTACCCACTTCCTGAAGCCTGGAAGGTGAGGCACTGGAGACCCCTGGCCAGGGAGGTGAGAAGCAGCCATTTCCCCCCAAGGATGATGTTACCTGCTCTAGGCTTTCCAGCATCATTATCCATAAGGAAAGGTGGACAGGAAACCAGGTTTTACTGAACACCTCAGGCCAGGAACTTTATCTCATTTCTATCTTCCCAAGTCCATAAGATCAGATCGGCTATTCTTCCCAATACCACTGCCTCAGGAAGAAATGGCTTAAGCCTGTAGACAGGCTTCACCTCTCTGGTTGGGCTGCCAGGTAGGTCAGAGGGACAGTGCTGGACTAAATGGCTGGGCCAGCTGGGAGATGTGCTCAGTAGTGCTGCAAAGCATGCTGATCTGCTCCCACAGGCTACAGTGAGAAAGCCATTAAAGCTCTGCTCTAACCACGGGGTCGCCATTCTGATGGGAGTAGAATTCAACCTGAATTTGGTTTTTCTTAGTTCGGGGGGCTCCTGGAGGTTACCGGAAGTAGAGGGAGCAGTTGGAGCTCACAATAGTGACTTGCGACTTGGAGTCCACTGCTCCTGAGATGTCACATTATGGACAATCTGAGGCTTTAGTCATAAACTCACCTCTTTCCCAAGGATGCTTGCTTGTACTGTTCAAACAGAAGTCCAGACTCTAGCCAAAAGTGCTGGACCAGCGGCTCACTTTCAGTGTGAGCTCTGCATGCTGGGGCAGGCCTGGTTTCCTGCCTGCCCAGCAGTCACCAGGAAAAATTTCTTTCTCCAGAACTGGGTGGGGGAAGAGGATGTCAAAGCCACTGCGACAGCCAGAACCTACTCGTAGCTCTCCCTCGACTGGGTTTCCTGTGGCTGAAATCACACAGGAGATTGTCCATCTTTCTCCCTTGGAGCTACTGGGGGATTGATACTGCCAGAGGCACAAGCCCTTAAGTCGGCAGCACAAACCTTTATGGACCAGGCCACCAAACTCCCCTTGGCAGAAGTCAACCACAGGGTCCTCGGAGCTGAAGGCCATCGGCCAGAGCCTCCACTTTTGTTAAGAGGCGCTTTCCCAGTTTGCACAGACATCTTTCCCTTGTTGCCTTGCAAAAATAGGCCCTGACTAAAATTAATGGTCCTGGTTCAAATTACAAACTTCTACCACTAAATCACATGTCTGTGGGTGTGTAGTCATGGCAGAACCAATCCACTGATGACCCTCCAGCAGGTTTTCAGAGGCAGTAGCTCACACTGGAGGAGACTGCCCATCTTCCTCCAACGGAGGAGCTGGTGAACTAGAAGATGTACCTTTGGTTTGGGTGCACCAACTCCTTACCACACACGAAGCCTCTAGGTCTCCCTCGTTTTTGTAGGGGACCTTAAGGAAAACCAATCTAACATGGGTCATTCCAGTAAGTTCCTTAGTACAAACGGAGTGGGACCAGGAGGAGCATCTGTGGAAAGTCTGCTAAATTCTTTTCCACCTGGCTATTTTGAGCATCTGTCATTTAGGTACTGAATTCCATTTTATTGCACGTTCTTATTCTAACTGAAATAAACATCAAAGTGTACTTAAGGTCTCTCTCATAGATACTGAATCATGTCAATGGTTGGCCCTTTCAGGAGGCTGTAAATCACATGGGATAAGACTGCCTAACTTGCTCCGGTAGATTCCAACCACCAGAGGATTAAGCCTTTGGGTTTGCTGGACCTTCCGATGGACACCACCTCCAGAGTGTCATATATCAGGTCTGTTTTATATCAAGTCAACTTTCAACTCATAGCTCACTACAAGAGATCTGAACCTTGCCCTATCCTGCATCGTTAAGACCTCCACCAGAGTCAAGCCCACAGTGGTAAGAAATGGCCCTCCTGACAACTTAACCTGAGTATGTGATACATCTAAGGGGCACTGTGGTTGCACTTCCTCTAAGATAGATTTGTTCTTTTGACAGTCTATGGCATATTCAATACTCTTCTCCAACACCACAATTCAAAAGCACTGGTTGGTCTTGTCTTCTATTCTCAGTAAGAATCTAGCACTCCAGTAGTCTAGCAGTATGGATTTTACAAACTGTCCTCAACCTTTGATCAGAAGGTGATGACCTTTTTCCCATCAGAAAACTTGCTGATCTTCTCTTCCATCAAAACCACATACATTAATCTCTTATCATTCATATCCAAGACAACATTAAATAAAGGCCAAAGGAGCTGCTTCATGTCTCATTCCTAGGCCCAAGTTGAAGTCTGGTGTCTTCTTGGAAGCAAATGAGTAATGATTATCACAAAAGTTTCTTTGCCATCAAGACAGAACTGACTCATAGCTGACCATCCAGTGGGTTTTCAGAGGCAGTAAATTTCACGAGGAGACTGCCCATCTTTCCCCTACTAACAAGAGAGCCCACACATTTCCCCTTCTGCGATTTAGAGCTTCCAAAATCTACCGCAGGGTCAGCTGTGAGTTGGTTCTGACTGACAGCAATGACTTCTGAGTCAGTCAACCCATCTAGGACCTAGTATGTTTCCCTCACTTTCAACAAGAGCTCCCAGGAAAGGGGGGGGGGGGGGATAGAGGGGAAGGGGAGAAAGAGAAAAAGTGAGTGAGTTTGTGTGAGTTTGTGTGTGTGTGTGTGTGTGTGTGTGTGTGTGTGTGTGTGTGTGCTTCTCTGGATTTATTCTCCAAGGCTTTCTAGAGTTAACAATGATAAGATTTAATGCTATACGAACTTACAATATGAAGTGTATAAAGGCATATTAATTTTATTGTTGTCTTAAAAAATGTGCACGATCACTCTGGGGACACTGACTGTGGCACAAATAATAGGTAAACAGCAAACTGCTCACCAGAAAAAAGTACCGGTTAGATACGAGACCCTACCTGGCATAGCCTTAACTCTGCAAATCCTTGAAGTAGGTACTAAAGGTATTTCTAATGAAGGCTGAATTTAACAAAAAATATTAACCTCATCTTAAAAGGTCTCATTTAATGGCAATACCAAATGTTAAAAGGAACATAAAAACCAACATGCACACAACTGCACAGTTTTCATAAAGATCTATTTCATTACTGGTGGGTAGCGCATTTAACAGTTAAATACATTTAAATAATGTATAGGTGACTGCAAGGCTGCAGCATTGGTAACTAGACAGATAACCAATTCAACTAGAAACAAGTAACTGTCTAAATATTTAAAATACAGCTCTTGTTTAGATCATCCTTTGTTTTGATCACCTTTGTGAGGAGAGTGGGAAAAGCCTGCTGGTCACAATGGAAATATATTAAGGCCAAATCTTCTGATATCCATTCCCAGAGGTGTCTTCAGCCGGATTAAGCCTCCAATTCCAGGGCAAGCCCAAGTTTGTGGCCTCCAGCATTAATGCTTTTCCCATCTACCAGAGCTGACAGTGTAAGCTTGACACCTATAAACACAAGACAGCCGTTAAAACATGTATGAAGATCTAAGGGGGGATGGGGGAGCAGAGGTCACAAAATTTGATGGGTGGGGGTTTGGAGAGATCCAGCATGAGACAGAATATATGCAAACTTTATAGGTAAACCATTGTAAAATAAAAAAAAAATTAAAAAAAAAAGAACTGCAAGAAATTCAAAACAAAACAAAACCCAGCCAGCCATGAGGGGCCAACCCTAGACACTCCAGGAGCATCCCAAGTCTTCTCTAATAACCACCCCAGATGAAAAGCCTATGGCTCTGTTAGCCCATCAATTGATCTACTAGTGCCAGTCACCAGAGGGCACCTGGAAATAGCTGGGATACCAAAGTGAATTCCAACTACCAACAGAATCCACAATGCTTACCAGGAAAAAAGTACTAGATAAGTACTAGGGAGATAAGACCCTAGCTGGAAATTCTCTGCAAATACCTAGTCATAATTATGTATACTTGTTTTATTCTTAATTTATAGCATTATTTATAAGAACATAATCTGTTATGCCCTATGTAAACAGGGTTCCAAATCACAGAACATAAATACATTCATTCAAAATGCTCTAGGATATATACTAACATCTAATAAATTAAAAAGGCTGAAAAAAATAAGACATTTTGGGGGAAAACTGAAATTAGACTACACATTAAAACCAAACCTGTACACAACAGGTATGTTGACCAAAGGAATAAAATTGAGAACAAGAAATAAATCCTACTACTTATGGACAATTGATCTTTGACAAAAAGATGAGCTCCATTAAGAGAAGGAAGCCGGTCTCTGTAAAATATGGTGCAGATAAAACTGGCTACCTATTCTCAGAAAACGGAAACAAGATCTGCACCTCGCAACAAAAACTAATTCAAGATGGATCAAAGACCTTGGCATAAAACCAAACTAAAGATCAAAGAAAAAATTAGGGCAAACTCAGGAGCCCTGAGCCAAAGCTCCTAGGCAAAAAAAAGACTACCAAAAATAGTACATCACAATCAACAGAGGATAAAGCAAGAGGACTGGGACATCATAAAAGCAAAAACCTTACATTTAACAAGTCTCCTCCAAAAAGAACCTATGGACTGGAGAAAATTATCTGGAAATAACACATCTAACAAGAGACTCATCTCTAACATCTACAGAAAACTGAAACACCTCAACAAGAAAAAAACAAGCAACCCAATTATAAAATTAGCTGAAGACATGAACAGACACTTTACACCACAGAAGACAGTCAGATGGCCAACCACCTCATTAAGAAATATTCAAGTTCATTAACTACTGTTAGGTGCCAGAGTCAACTAAGACTCATTGCAACCCTATGAACAATGGATCAGAACCTTGCCCTATCCTGTGCCATCCTCATTATCGTTGCTATACTTGAGCCCACTGTTGCAGTCACTGTGTCAAACCCATCCCACTTCACTGACCCCTCTACCTATCCAAGTATGATGTCCTTCTCCAAGGACCAAGATTCAAAGCAACAATATCACCTTACTCCAGGCACATTAGAGAGCAATATTTAATAAGGCAGTAAACAACAAATGCTGGCAAGAATGTGGAGAATGGAAATCTTTTACACTGTTTAGAAATGGAATACAGTGCAACCACTATGGAAAGGAGTTTGGCACTTTCTTAAAAAGTTGGAAATAGAAACACCGTTTGATTCAGCAATCCTACTAGGTATATATCCCAAAGAAATAAAAACTACAGCACAAGCTGACATACTCACACCTATGTTTACTGCAACACTATTTACACTAATAAAGAGTGAGAAACAACACAAATGTCTAACAACAGACAAATGGCTAAAGAAACTGGTACATTCACACAACGGCATATTACACAGCACAAAAAAAATGAAGAATTTGTGAAATACTATACAACAAGGATAAAACCAGAATGATGCTGCTGCCAGACAACTCAGTCATAAAAGGACAATTATGGACTACTAATACAAAAATAAAGGACTACTAATACAAAAAGGAAAAGTTTATATACAGAAATCAACCTTGGCAGGTTAACAGAGAAGCTTGAGGAAAGGGAGAACAAACAATGAGCACGCTCATTCTCAAAAAAAACCATAAACAAAGCAACCCAACCTCTCAGCCATCAAGTTACAATCAGAGTGACCCTGCAGGTTGGAGTAGAGCTGGCCCACAGCATCCTAGGTTGTAAACCTTTAAGGAAACCCACTGCCATATTTTTCCCCCTAAGTAGTTTTGGTGGGTTTCACCAGCTAACTCTTCTGTTGAGCAACTGAGCCCTTTAATCACTTTCCCGCTAGGGTTTTACATTGGATCTTGCATGAATGTTCATTTTCTTAAGTCATGGCATTTTCCTAAATCATATAGGAAAATTACATAGGCAACAAACATGTATTTAAGCACTTTTTTTCCTTTTCTTTTTTATGTGTGTACCGTCAAACCAGATCCAACTGGAGATTTCCCCTCCTTCTCCAGCACAGCATCTGGTGGATTCGAACTGCGAACCTCTGTGATTGCAGTGCAGCTTCTTGCCACTAGGCCACCAGATCTCCCATAAATACTACCTTTTTTTATTTGAATAGAGGATTGGACACAGAGGTAAAACAAATGTGACAAATGTTAATGGCTGGTGAACTGTTCTTTGAGTATTTCTTAGCTTTCAAATATTCTAAAGGAAAAAAATTGGAGGGGGTGGAAGTCTCTATTTAGAGGAGAAAAAGTTAAGCACTAGCAGCAGTGTAGCCTCCATCCCCAGGAGCTTGTCAGAAAGGCAGAACTCATCACCATGCTTTGGGGGTAAAATCTGCAGTTTTATAGGACTGCCCAGAAATTTACATACTGTTCCAGAAAGTATCTATGTTTAAGATACTATGTAGCATAAGAGAGATTACAGAGACAAAACAAAAAGCAATTAACTCCTGGGTAGTAAAAACTATAAGACACTTTACCTAGACTAAGAAAACTCAGTAAGGAGTGATTAAATAATACTAGGGAATTAATGACAAAACAGCATCATGACTGTGCAGAACAACCTTATTCTTTAGAGAGGACAGGTGATGAGGGAACTATTGTCTTATTTTTAAGAGCTAAAAAAAAAAAATAGGTAAAATGGGTGTTGAGTTTGTTGGGATTTCCCCCCAACTGTTCTGTTTGCCTAATTCATAAAGAAAGAACCTGAAGAAACAAAAATAATTTTAAAGACCCAACAACATCAATCTTTAAGGACACTTACCAGGCCTCAGAGTCTGAGTGTACCCCACTCCAATTAAACTAGAGTTGTTGACCTTTGCCTGAAATAAAAATGCAAAACAACTATAACAAAAAATTTTAAATGGAGGCATTATCTTCTGCATACTTCCTTTACTATGAAATTATGAAGTGTTCAGCTTTCTTATTCATGTGAGATAGTACAATTTAACACTGCCTATTAAGCCAAAGACCAGTTATCATTTAATTCTTAACTCACTGAATGCAAAATCAAATTTTCAGTAAAACCCAAACTCTATAGACGTCCCAGACCGCAATTTGTCTATCTATCCAGCACCAGAACCTAGGCACACACATAAAATCACCCTTACCAAGTACATCAGAACCTGGCTAAGAGGCAGCCCACCTGGTAAACCACCTGAACACATCAGTCTCAGCACTGTGAGGGCTGAAGTTTAAATAAGTACGTATTACATATCACTACTTTCAGGGTTCTTCTTAAAGAATGAAAACCATCAATGTTAATTGCCAAAACTAAAAATCCTTCACCTCATGTTCTCAAACCCCCCACTAGATCACACTTGAGATTGCACGATCCTAATATTTTAAGCCTGTAACAGACCTTTAAACTGGCTGGAAGGAACGCTGGTGAACAGATATAATTAAGGAAAACTCCTTCAAATTTTTTTCTACAACCGTTAACGTTAGTAAGCCACCGCCTATCCAGGGCCAACTGAGTCAAGAGCGACTTAAAGCACTCTCTCCCCTTCAAGTTTCTATAACTGTAAATGTTCATGAGAGGCAGCTGCCTGACCGCTTACAGTGTGTCCAGGTAAATGGAAGCACTTGCCCCCCAAGACAGACCTCCCTCTGACAGCCATCCAGGCGGCCTCGTCAGACTCTATGGTCATCTCTAACGCCTGCTCCTTAGCATTCTGAGCACAAAGGTTAAAAGATAAACCAGCTTCTAGGAATAAAACAGATTTGGAAACTGACTTTATTCTTTCATAATGTCATAAAAAAAAAAAAAGCCCAGTGCAGGGAAAGCAATTATTAAACTGTGGTCATAAATGGCACCTATTCACCTGGCCTAGCTAAAAAGTTTTCATAAGTCGACATTTGAGATCTCTAAGAATTCCCCTACTAGTGGTTATCTCATACCTCAGTAGGTATAAATGTCAAATATTTTAGGAGTCAATCAAGAACTTAGAGACAAGAACTTTGGGGGTATTAAGAGATGCTTCCAGGTGCTGTTCGACTGGGATGACAACAGGAGTAATCAAGTAGGAAATGATAGATCCATTTCCCAACTAACCTCAGAAGTAAATGACACACTGGTCTCAAGGTTCCTCTCCATTTCATACTATGAAATGCTAGTAGCTGAGAGCCGTATCTTCCCCTAGCATTAATTCTGGAAAAGTGGCCAAACTATACTTAGAGAAAATGAAGACCTTAGAATAGTGCTGAGTGAATCCTGAGGTTTTTATTGCTTCAGTACAATCAGACCTATACATACAGGAAAAAAAGTGAAAAAAGGCTGAGGTGCTTCCTGTTCTGATTAAAACTGTGTTAAGATAAAACAAGAATGTAGCTAGAGTTTAAGTGCCTAAATTACCAAAATATTGTCCTTAGGAATGAAGAGCACTTTATTATGTAACAGAAATAACTCACGGATGGTTTAACTTTCTTTCATTCCCAGTACATACAGTACAGGCAGTCCCTGACCTGTAAGCAACTGACACAGAGGAACAGCTGCTGATCTGCCTGAAACTGGAGCCAGCTCCTCTACACTCTTGGATCCTGTACCATCTCCTAGCCCAACCCTTTATGACTTCAGGCAGAAATAACACCCAAGAATCTGAGGTTGGTGAAGGATGTTCAAGTGTGCCTGAAATGGGAGGCTTTTTCTACATTCTTTTGAAATGTCTAACATCAAAATAGTCCAAAGAAGAGAAAGAAATTACATAATTGTAAAAGCAAGTCATAAACAGCACTCAAGCCAAGTCTTCATGAACCACCAGTGACCAGGAAGTTTTCCTGGGAGTCACGACCTTCAGTGCTAAAACCAGGACTGGGCAGTGCTGGCTGACTTGGTCAGTCAGCCACACAGGAAATCGACAGTCACCAGTCCTAGCTCCACCTTTGCCCCCTGAATAGCAGGGCAAGTCCTTTGCCTTGTTCTGCTCATTTCATATGCAAAATGGCATACCACACTAATCTTTGATCAAATATAAAGAGATTTGATAAATCACAAACAAAAAAGATTATTCTTTCATCAACTGCTTTAGGGATTACTTTCAAAATCTAGACTAAAACACTGGTTTTTCTTGGGTCCAACAGGCTGAAGGGAGCCCTAGTAGCCTAATGAGTAAGGAATTGGACTGACAAACCAAAGGCAGGCAAGGCAGTTCAAATCCACTAGCTGCTCCACTAGAGAAAGATGGGCACCTTCCTCCTATGTGATTTACAGTCTTTGAAAACCTTCTGGAGGGTCAGCTACATGTTGGTTCTGACTGTACTGCATGAGACAGTCTGGGGCTCATTATTTTATTCCTTTTCTTGGGGGAATGCTCATTTTTATTCACAATGTTAACGGAGTAATTTTGTGAGGTTTAACAAGCTCTTCTGGGTGGGCCTGCAAGTCAATTCTAATGTCTCCATGGATAAAGAGGAGCATTCCAAATCCTAACCTCAATTTGTCTGTAAACTGAGAAATACGTAAATCAGAGTTCAAACTGTCAACACACTATAACCAAAGCTTAATTCCAACAACCAAAAATCCCATTCGAAACCCAAAGCAGTACTCACAGAAATGGAAGCGGTGGGATCCAACTGGTATTTAGCAGCAATGCCAAAGCGAGTGCAATTGGTTCCTGATGTCCAACCCAGGTTGACTGAAGTGTCAAGATCTTCACACACTTTCTGATAAATTGATCCTCCAAATTCTGTCCCATCATTGCTGTAAGATATTATAAATTAACTCTAGAATAGACAATGTAAAAATAGACTCTAACGCATTAATTAGGCTGACATTGCATTTACATGGACATACACCTGCTCCCATAGAGAGCTTTAGTATTTCACTGAAAGCTTCCAAGTTCTGGAAGGTTTTTTCCCGGCCTATCTCCAAAAACAATCTAACTCACTGCCTTCCAATCGGAAAAGATTCACAGCTGACTATCGAGTTTCTGAGACTGGGAACTGACAGGTAGACTAGCAGCACAATTCCTTACTGATTGCCCCCAGAGCACTCCATCCAGTAACAAGGGGTAGTAAAACACATCAAGGTATATCCTTGCCATGCCACCACGACACACCTTAGTGTAGAACACACACTCAAGTGAAAAAAGGCCCTTAATTTCCAAGGTCATTTTCTGGTGTGCTACCATGCTCATGCAGTGTACACAAGGAATCCATACAGGGAGCAGGAACAACAGAGATGAGAACATCTCATCCACAGTGGGGGAGCTAGAGGGAGAAGGTAGAAGACAACGAACATCTGCATCAGTTGGAATGTCATAGTTTTCCTTATCCAGAGGATGAATTTGCAGATCTGAGTTTAGATAGCTAATGCTGGACAGAGCCCCAGGGGTCAACAACCCATGAAAGGATTCCCTTTCATCACAAACCAGGGGTCACCTGAGTCCCTCAGGCAAGGATCCTAGCGCTGTTCCAGTCCAGTACACATCATGTTATTGGTGACAACACCAGGGTAGAAGGCATCACATTCCTTATGGCTCAGGATATTGACCCTGGAGCATCTCAGGCCCATTATACTTGACTCTTCATGCTGATGAGGTACCTGAGCCAGCAATCTGACACTGTTCTCCGAAGTGGACACGTTAGTAGGGCAGGTGCAGGGTCTGGATTCGGGCTCCCATCACTGCAGGTCTGCCCAGCTTCAGGAACATGAGGTTGTAATCACTGGAGTGCCTGGGAATGATGGGACCAGAGCCCTGCCGGTACCTGGGGTGGACGATGGAGTGAGTGGTCCCAGCGGAGCTGTCTGCCCTAGAGGAGCAGCAGGTGATCCTCTACTATCCGAGCCCAGAGAGGCTTGTTGCTGTTACAGCAGTGTGTTCACCAGGACGCCTACACAGTGGATCAAGAGGCCACTGAAGAGGGAGACCTGCCAGGCCTTTGAGCCACACGCATGGGGAGCTGTAGGGCGCATGGGGAGCTGTAGGGCGCATGGGGAGCTACAGGTCTCATGGTCCCTGCTGGTGTTCTTTACGGGGAGCAGAGCCGCCTCTGCAATCCAGAGTTGCTCCATCAGCAGGGGCACCATCAGCTTTCCTCATGGCTCGAGTGCCAGAGGTGGCAAACAGTGGAGATGCAGGAGTCTCCCCTCTCTGAACTGGGAAAGAGGGAGGAGACCCAGAGGTTCCTCTGCCCTGCCTGAGGATCGCTCGTGAATCCTCTGCTCCAAGGTCATAATCTTTAAAAGAGCTCACTGCCACATCTTTTACCAAAAGAATGGCTGGCAGGCTAGCAGTGGCAAAGTTTTAACAAGAAAGCAAACCAATAATGGGTTGGTGGGACAGTCACTCTGGCAGGCAGTTTGGCAACTCCTCTAAGAAGCTAAACATGAAAATTCCACATGACCCACTATTCCACTACTAAGAATATACCCCCCAAAAAAAGGAGAACTGAGACACAGATTTGTACACAAATGTTCATATGCACATTAATCACCATCCCAAGAACATGGAAACAGCCCCAAATGTCCAACCACAATCGAACAGATTGAGAAATAACGGTACATTCACACGATGGAATACTACACAGCACACAGAAGAAATGATTTTTTTAAATCACTACCTAACATGGGAGGAACTGTATAAGACCATTATTGTAGAACGAGAAAGCTAACTAGTAACACATGTATGAGGATCAAAGGGTGGAGGAAGGGGGCAGAAGGGTGAGAATAGGCAGGAAGGAAATCAAAGGGCCGCACAATTTGATGGGTAGAGAGATGGGGTGAAGGAAATGGGAAAGATCCGGCGGGGATCTGGAAAGACCATAATGGTGGCATAGTTCAATGAAGATTAATTTTATAAAACTTAACAAGTGGGAATGATTATACAAAAAACAATGTGAATGAAGTATAGTGTGAAACACCATGTATACAAACTTAGTAAGCAAACCAATATAAAGTACGTATTAAAGGGGAAAAAAGAATGGCTGGCAGATTAGAACCTCTAGCCCTTCCATTAGCCACCATGCACAGTAACCACTGTGCCACCAAGACCCTCTCCATACATACTGGGAGAATAAGCCCAAATATATTAACAAGAATTATATATACCAAGTAGCAGAACTATGCAGAATTTTTCTCTACTTAGTAGTATTTTCCTGTATTTACCATGTATAATTTTAAAATTTATAAATTTTAAAACTATCTTATAGACAGATATGTTATGGACAGCATCCTGGTGGCACAAACCCTTGGGCTGATGCATGGGAAAAGATGTGGCAAACCAATTCCTTAAAGATACAGAACCTTGGAAAGAACATTATACTATTATTCAATCATTAACAAAGAGGCAAAAATTCCCACTAAAACCCTAGCCCAGATAATTTACTCTGTCCTAGGAGGCTGTTACGAGTCATAACCAATGTGCAGCAAGAGGCTTTGCTTTTTTGGTAGACATGAAGCAAGCACTTACACATTAGTGTGTAATTGGAAGTCCCCGGTCCGGTAGCCCACAGCAAAGTTATTCCTTGTCAGCTTTGATTTGGCACTGTCGAAGGTCATCTGGTACCCAGCGAGCCAGCCCTCATAACCAAAGACAGCTGAACCATGGATTGCAGGTCCAGCAAAGTCAAAGTCAACATCACAACCAAGGTTTATGCACTCCCTCTTGTAAGAAGACTTGATTTTACCACTTTTTTTTCTGAAAAAGAACAAAATGTCTTAAAACTAATGTCAGTGGGAAGATTTATGTGCAGTCAGTCACAAAAGCCTCTCAGAGGCATGTTCATTACCCGAAGGTAGTACCACAATGAAGACAAATATTTGAGAGCAAGCCAAAAGCAATTCCAGGGTTCAAAAAATGAAATAAAAATCTGCTGCTACTGATTCATAAATATGTATCTTTCCAAAACACACAGAAGAGAAATGCCTTCAAATTTCAAGTGCATAAAAATGTACACGCTTACCCTGTGTTTGGTGAGAAGGTAGTATCAAAAGTCAATTTTAAACCTTGGCAGATCTATTTGGTAAGAAAAAGATTCTTTTTCAGATTTTTTTTTTTTTTGGCCACGCAAAAAGAACATAGTTTAAAAATTAAGGCATATTTTCAAGAGTTACCTGGTCTTCAATTGCGATTTCTGTTCCCAGAGTATTATCAGTGTTCCATTTTTCTGTGAAAGTCAGCCCATACTCACACCATTTATATTTGGTCTCCAAGGTCCCAGTAACTTTACCAGTGTCTGTATTTGATGAACCAGATGTTGAGAATTCCTAATGAGAAAAAAATAATCTCGTGAATTTTCTCCTAAGCCTAGATGAATATACCCTCTCCACACTCCATCTACTCATCACTATTTCACCAGTATTCTTTTCCTGTTTAGCTTCCTCAACATTCCTCTTCCTCCTACTGCTTCATATACCAGTGACAAAACTGTCTGCAAGTAGCTTATATTCCCAACTCATCAATCAAAATTAACTATAATCAATTCCCAAATGACAATTTCTACTACCTTTAAAGAAAACATCTTCGAGACAACTGGCATTTTAAAAAAAAAAAATCAATGGAAAATAAAAAAAGATGCATGCTCTACACAACAGTGAATCAAATACTAAACAGGTTACTATGGTAAATATAGACGTCATCATTCAAAAATCTAAATGTATAAGTGATATTCTATTATAAAAAAAATTACCTGAAATCTTCATGACCCTAAAACAAGAACTAAATAGCACCTGGGTACCACTTGTCTGACAGCTCTGTCTTTCAGGCATCTCTGAAAGGGACAGCAATAAAAGGACCCTGATACAAAGCAAGAATATGGAATTAAATGGAAATCATTAAAAAGACCAGGCTGGCAACGGGTGGAAACCAAGACCACGGGTTTTAGTCTCTGCAAGCCTGGATCTGAAATTAACCTTGTACTTCAACTTTCAGCCATACAGACAGACCTAGAAGGTGACTGGTAATCCTGAGAAAGCGAGCATTTCTTAAAATGATCAACCATGGAAGGTCAAGAGCACTGCAGGTGCGCAGAGATAAAGCTCAGATGGTAGAAAGAGTAAAAAAGGACAAATGGAGATGAAACACAGGAAGAAAATGGGAAAAGTGCTGTTAAAATGTGGGAACAGGAATCAAGGTACCAAAACAGTGTGTATGAACTGTTGAATGGAAACCCAATTTGCTCTGTAAGCTGTGTTCAAATGTGGTAAAATCACAATACCGCTGAAAATTCTTGAAGAATGCTTACCAAGCCATGAACAAAAAGATTTTTCTAAAAATTTTTTGGTATTCTCAGTATTTCATGTCAATCATTCTCATAAAATTAAAAGTAGAGGGCGGAATTTATAGAAGATTTATACAACTTGGTTTTAGCACATATAAAACTATATTCCACATAATAGATGCTTTTCTTAAAAAAAAAAAATTATTATTTTTTTGCACATGTGTGTCCCATCAAAGCAGATCTGACTGGTACAGATTTCCACTCCTTCTCCAGCAATGCATCTGGTGGATTTGAACCACATACCTCTGGGACTGCAATGCAGCTTCTTGCCACTAGGCCACCAGAGCTCCCTTTGAATCTAACTTTTTAAAAACACAACAAACCAACCTCACAGGAGGGAACAATCCCTCGTATTTTAGGTAACTTTCTTCTCTATCAAGTGTGAATGACTTGCAAATCCCTAACTGCACACAAACTGAAATGCAAGCTATTGATTGGAGAGGACTTACGTGAAATTTAAAATTTGTTTCCAACTATCCAGAAATGTAATCTCATGAGGGTCAGTATAAAGGTAGGCAACTCAAATCTTCTAAGATAAAATATTTTAAAACCTTCTGAAACATTCCAATTTGCTTAATAATGTCTATGTTGTGGCTTTAGGAAAGCCAACAGTAAATAAAGAAAACTGGAACCACAAATTTTTAAACCTACAAAAGAAAAAAAAACTAGCAAAGGGGGCTGGGGAAGCCAATTTATTCAGAATCAAAGCATCTATAGTATTAAAAGAATGCTCTTGTGGCTTAGTGGTTAAAGAGTTGTGCTGCCAACCTGACAGCATGAGGTTCAAATCCATCAGCTGCTCGGCAAGAGAAAAATGAGCACTCTCCTATGCAACTTACTGCCTCTGAAAACCTGCTGGATGGTCAGCTATGAGTTGGTTCCGACTCCATACTATATAACATTGTGCTATTGCTTATACTACAGTTAAACTGACCCAAATTCCTAGTTCTTCTACAGATTCTCCTGAAATTAAGATGCTTTTATAAGTCAATGTAGAGGACTCAATATATCTATCAAAAAAGCACTGAACTGTTACCAAAAATATTAAATATAAAGTTAGGAGTCCAATTCTAACTATCACTTTTGAAACAACACTGAGACGACAGTCTCCAAGTTTCCTGAGTTGTAAAAGTCTACTATTACATTAGACTACATCAAAGTAAAACATTTACATCACCAGTGTATGTTCTACTGTGTATTTTCTCAATACAACAATAAAATTGGGGGGAGGGGGAATCCTGCATCTAAGAATGAACATGTTTAACTTGTAGGCATTTACAGTGACCTGAGGGAAAGTTTACAAATCAAATTGGTTTTCCACTCAACCATTCCTACATACTTCCTTTTATGACATTAGCCTACAATACCCACAATGTAACCATACTCTTCTCACTTTCTCCTTCCCTATTATCTCTTTTCAATTAATCCTTCTATCCAATCCTTTTCACTTGCTGGGCTTTATTTTTTAACAAATGCTACCCTTTGACCTTATACAGGTGTATAAGGTATACATTTCTAAGAAGTGTCTCCTTGGTGTTTTTGTTCCCCTCACAGGCCTGAAAGTTGAACTAAGAGGATGAGTTTTGGTCCAAGTCTGAAGGGTGACTGAAGGTCAGACTCGGGGCTCCTCTTCTCTACCTGGTTTTTATGGTATTTTTGTTTTACTTCTCTCCCTACTCTATCCAGGACATTTTGTGATCCCTGCTAGAGTTGTCAGCACTGGTGGCCAGGCACCATCTAGTTTTTCCGGTGTCAAGGTCGTGGAAATTGAGGTTCAGGTGGTCAGTCTTATGTACAAATTATTTCTATATATCTCTGCTTTCCTTCCTTTCTCGTTCCAGACAGAGACCAACACTTGCACTTCACGGGGCTGCCTGGAAGATTTAAGACCCTCACTGAGAGCAGCTACTTTAAATCCTGAACTAATGACTCTTGAGGCCCCAACTACTACTAATCATCAATCCACAGACTGTTGTTTACATGACAAGAATTTTCAATATACAAACCAACATCATCCTGTGGGATGAGAACTAGTTGACAGTCCTGGTTGAGCTTACACTCTTATCACCACTTTTATTTCCAACATAGATTCTGCTGTATTTACTTGGGACCAAAAGAACTCTGGTGATGCTATGATTAAGGTATACTGCCATTAAGAACTAGACTGACAGCTCAAATCCACCAGCAGCTCCAAAGCGAAAGACATGGCAGTCAGCTTCCATAAAGATGACAAGCCTTGGAAACCTCATAGGTAATTCTACTCTTTTTTACAGGGTTGAGCCGAATCAGAATTAACTTGGTGGCAGTTAGAGGAGGTTTTTTGTTTGACTTAGGAGCAAACACAGTAGTAGGTCAATAACAGGCTTTTTGAAGTAAATCCATCCATCTATCTATTGAGAGTGTGGGAGAGAGAGAGAGCAAGAGAGAGAGAGCGCGCGCGCATGTGTGTACCATCAAATTGGATCTGACTAGTACAGGAGATTGCCCCTCCTTCACCAGCAGAGCATCTGGTGGATTCAAACTGCGTACCTCTGGGACTGCAGTGCAACTTCTTGCCACTAGGCTACCAGAGCTCCATTATATACCCCTCAGATCTTAAACTTACTTCCCTAAGACTTACCCTAACTACGCATATCTACAATAAGGCCAATATTTTGGTTTATCAAACAATCTACTATTTAATAGACTTCTGAATATTCCCTTCTTTAAAGTTTATTCTCTATAACTAGAAAACAATCTAGTATTTGTATTTAAAGTCTTTTGTATTTCAACCAATACTCTGCAAAAATTTTAAGGGCTTGGGTGGTTGACCTGTGGCCGCATTCGTTGTTGTGTGTTGTCAAATCAGAACAAACTCAAAGCCGACCCTCCAACTTTTTTCCAGAGGCCATCAGCTTTTCAGAGGCAATCACAAGGGGAATTGCCTTCTCCCTCGAAGCAGCTGGTGGATTTGAACCATGTGCCTTTGGGATTGCAGTGCAGCTTCTTATCTGATCACCATAATTCTCTCTCACCACTCTACTTGAGCAAATCAATCATCCAATTACAAATGGATACCCACGTTTTCTTTCAAATCAAAGAAAATCAGTGTCAGGTAAAACCACTATAAAATCCCAGTAACCCAACAAGTCCAGGATGCAACAATTAATTTAATGAATATCAGTTATATACATTAAGAGTTAGCAATAACTTGTATGAATCACCAATATTGTGCATGTATCTACTATACTCATTCACCCCCAAAATAATAACAAAGAAAAATTACACCAACATATCAATCTGTCAAAATATTCAAGTCAAAATTTCTTTTCTTAATAAAACATGTGGAATTATTCCTCAGAGAAGAATATTAGGATATGGCCATTTTATAATAATTCCTACATTTGAAAAGTTTTGAACATGTATAGCCCAGAAGTCCAACAGGGTTAGAAAGTTACAACAAGTATGTAACAAGTTCTCTGCCTTCAACTTGTAATTTTACTATGTAAAAACAAGTGCATGTGACTGATGTCTTAAAGTTTCTTATGTGTATATAATAAACAATACAGCAAAACACCAAATGAAAATAGGAACTCCTATTGGTACAAGCAGTCAGGAAATCAAAAAGCGTATTGCGATGGGAAAGTCTGCTGTTAGGGACCTCTCAAAGGTACTCAGGAGCAACAGTGTCTCTATAGAGACTAAGGTGCGCCTGATACAGGCCATGGTCTTTGCAATCGCTTGTTATGCATCAGAAAGTTGGACAATGACTAGGGAGGACAGAAGGAGAGTGGATGCTTTTGAGCTGTGGTGCTGGAGAAGGGTACTGAATGTACCATGGACTGCCAGGAAAACAAACAGATTCATCTTGGAGAGGATTAAACCAAGCTACTCCTTGGAGGCAAGGATTCTGGGGCTTCGTCTGACATACTTTGGACATGTTGCCAGGAGGGACGGGTCCTTGGAGAGGGACATCATGCTTGGGAGGGTGGAGGGACAGCGCAGGAGGGGAAGACCCTCTATGAGATGGATTGATTCGGTGACTGGGGTAGTCGGGATGGGTGTGTCAGAGGCGGTGCGGTTGGCGCAGGATAGAGCAGGGTTTAGGGCTGTTGTGCATAGGGTCGCTATGAGTCACAAATGACTCGACGGCACATAACAACAACAACATCCAAATTAAAAACAAATCCTGCTACCAATAGTCTCCTTCAAACATAATTAAAGATTTCTGCCTCTTGAACCAAAAACTAAGACTACCTTATGGGCTTAAAAATCAGATAAAGGCACATCAGAATTTACTAACTAGCTTATACTTACCACTCCACTGCATGACTTTGTTTTCACATCTAGTTTCACCAACCCAAAACCTTCAAGAAAAGGAAAAGACAGTTAAATTATTCTTCTGTATAAAGGATGCAAAGATTCTCCATGTTCGGAGGGAAATAAAAATGTGTTGAAGAGAAAAAAATTTAAATCTGTGCATTTGTATACTAAAAACCGACTTGTAAAGGACAGCACATCTTCAGTCCTGGAAGATTATGTCTTTTTAACTAGACTTTGGAATGCAAAGTGTGGGTAGAAGTAGCTATGGATAGTTACACTAGCAGACAGAAAGAAGTTATAATCTGATGAAATCATTGGTTTCCTTAGATGATTCAAACATACACATTTTCACTTCTGATTTACTTTTTAAAAAAATAATTTCTTACCAAATCCTTTGTTGAAAATATCTCTGGCAGCTTTACCAAGGTCAGCATAGGATGGAGGAATGCACATTGCTAGTGGAAAGAAACATTCCAGTATTAATGTTTTCCCTCCACCTTCGGTCCAAGAACATAGCCATCTGCTGATGTTTAAAACAAGCAATTCAACCTGTTGGGATTTTTTTTTCTTTTTTTAATGTCACCAAAAGCTAAAATCTACAAAGATCCATAAGGCAGATTCATCCTCAAAAACAAGGGCTTTGGAAAAAAATTAAAAGTAAATGGCTGTAAGAACTTGAAAAAGGGTGGCCTAGTGGCAAGAAGCTGCACTGCAATCCCAGAGGTGTGCGGTTCAAATCCACCAGATGCTTTGCTGGAGAAGGAGGAACCATCTCCTCCTGTACTAGTCAAATCTGATTTGACGGCGCACACACACACAAATAATAAAAAAAAAAAAAAAGAACTTGAAAAAGTTCTTCCAAAACCGAAAAATTAACTTTCTTTCCTAAACTTGCAGTAGCCATAATGTCTCTACAGAAGAGACAAAACTGGAGACACTCAAACAAAGACATGTATAGGGGCGAGCTCTGGTGGCCTAGTGGCAAGAAGCTGCACTGCAATTCCAAAGCTGCATGGTTCAAATCCACCGGATGCTCTGCTGGAGAAGGAGGAACAATCTCCTCTTGTACTAGTCAGATCTGATTTGACGGTACGTACGTACGTACACACACACACACACACACACACATAAAATTTAAAAAAAAAAAAAATACATGTATAGGGCAAGGAATGACTAAATAGGACAAAACCAAAAACAGGCCCTCTCCACCTGTATGTCCTTTGAGTATCCTTACTGAGTTCAAAACCAAGATTCTAGAGTAGGCAGAGAAATAAATAAGTCAGAAACTTAAACATGCGAAACTTGGGGGGGGGGGGGGAAGGCAGTCGTCTGTTTCACTCCGATGTCTCCATCGACTATCAAATGGCATTCTCAAAATATTCATGGCAGTCAAGGCCTCGCCCAATGCGGAGCAGCTTAAGGACAAGCAATCTGAGCTCATTCATTCTACACGGCTCGTCCACGCCCTTAAGAGAGCGTGGAATGACCTTGCGATCGCTGAGGGATCTACTTCCTTCAAAGGTAGAATTCTGCAAAAAAAATAAGGCTAGCCTTTACAATTCGTAAAAGACAGGCCCAAAAAGTGAAGGTGAATGCGGCCACAGGTCAACCACCCAAGCCTAGTCCCTCCATCCAGAAATCCACTAGCCTTCTCTCCAGAGCCAGGGCAGTCAGTAGGGTGGGCTACCAAAAAGGGCTAAATTCCCAGAGATAAGGGACTGGGGGCGAGGGTGGGCCATTGGTGGACGGGCTCGGAACCCCGGAACCCCTGGTCCTACCCGCTGATCGCCGCTTTACTTACGCCGCGCGCAGCTCTGCCCGTAGGTCGCCATGGCGAGACGAGGGAAGAGATCTGCGGAAGGAACAAGAAGTGCGGTAAGGCGGGGTGGGGGACGAGTCAAGGGGCCAGGAGGGGGTCTCGGACAGGAGGGGCTAGCGACCGTGGGGCTGCGCGGCCATCTTAGGGATCCAGGCCGACCCCGAGTTGAGCTCAGGACTCTGGCTTGGCTGCGGCGGCCGAGGCCCCCGGGTGGGCCCGACGCGGATGGCCGGTACCTGGTGGTCTCCGAGAAGGGCCGCCGCGCCGCTCTGCTCGCAGCTGAGGCCGCCCGACTCGCTCAAAGTAGAGCTGCAGGTGCCGCGGCTGGAGGGCGAAGTGAAGGAGACACCGTTCCGCCCGCCGCAACCCTGTCCTGCCCCTGCCAGGACCCCGCCGCTGCCCCTGGGGCTGTCCACAGTGCCTGCCCCGGCCGCGCCGCCCGCCGCCTACTCCAGCCTGCTCCGCAGCGGCCACATGGACCGAGGGGAACCGCGGTCCAGAGGTGGGCTGCCTCTGTCCGTCGGCAGGGGCCGCGAAGGCCAAAGCTGCCGTGCCACACGTCAGGCAGGGACGAGGACAACCCTGGGTGAGAGGGGGCGGGGAACGGCGGAAGTCGCGCGGCGGACACGGCGTGGGTGGGGGATGGGGGGAGACCCCGCGTGCGCGCGTCACGGGGCGGGGCGCAGCGCGGTGCTGGCGGTGGTCACGTAGCGCTCGCCGGCTCTCGGCCGCGGGGCTGGCTCTCCAACCAAAAGAGGCCTTCCACTGCTTAGGGACTCCCTGAGCCTTATCCCACCTGCTTTGCGGAAGTGCATCGTGAACTTCTAGGAGACTGTCTTCCTCTAGCCCTTGATGCCTTCCGCTTCCTAGTCCCCCCCACACCCCTTACCCAGTACCATCGCCTCACTAAACTCCACTCTGCGCTGCCCCTCCCTGAACAAACATGTCTAAAGATGCTTCGCCTTAGGGCTCCTCTTACCGCCCCCTCCCCATTCGGGAATGGGACTGCTCAAAGCAGGGACCCGTAACAGGGAGCTTCGGGGAGCCTGCTCATGGTCCGGCCCCACTATAGCGTTGCCAATCTAATGGACTCCTGGTTACTCCATGTGTAATGGTGATCAGCAGTTTACAGATGTCCTCCGCGTGCTTCATAGAGTTTTCTTGGCTGCACACTTTGCAAATTGCCAGGCGTTCCTTCCTCTGGCTGCGTTTTAACAGCCTGGTTAGTAGTGACGCGCCAACCATTTGTGCCACCCAGAGACCTTTGGGATGAGACAAACAAGGAGAAATTTTAGGAATTGGTGCTAAGCATTAGAATACTGCAGGTAAATTCTCAATGACATGCACCGGAGCAGGACAGCCAAGAGAACAAAGAACAAAAGCAATCATTAATGAGACAAATGAGGTTAATGGGCTCTGGATCAAATATCTTATAATTTGGAGCCCTCGAACTGTTTCTCCATCAGTAAAAAGATGTTTACATTGAAATCTTTTTTTTTTTAAGGTTTTGTGTCTTTAATGAAAGTTTACGGTGTATTATTTACACATGAGTAAGAAAAGACCACTGGACCCCGCAGCTTCTGTTGGGACTGGCAACAAGGGGCTCCTGTCAACCCTATTAAAGCAGAGTTGCTCTGGATAGTTCCAAGGTGAGAATACCTAACAGGTGAGCAGGCCCTTCAGATCAGATCTGCAGCGTTCATGGGCATCTCCTTGATTTCTAACTATTCAGCCATAGACAATGAACAAAGCCTGTTATATGGGTCCCTCGAAATTTCCCCTGGTTCTAACACCTCTGCTCAAATGCGGCTGTCAAGAGTTGACTTTTGCCCTCACACCAGTCACAGGTAATGTTAACATGTAGAACCTAAGTAAAGATTACCCATGGTTTTATAAACCAGATAGCTACAAAGGGTGGAATGCAACACTCCTTAGTCTCATTAAAGCTCTAATTGATGTAAAGGGAGTATCCCCAGTTTGTGGCCAGTGGGAACCTCAGTATCACCACCAAGAAAAATATGGCCAGGAGTGGAAAATGTCTTTTTGGACTCAGACTCCTGCATTGGGAAGCTCTTCATCACAGGGGAAGGCCAAGATATATGGAATATGTAGCTGAAGTCTCCGCACCTAATGCTTGAAGAAAACAAGAACCTTCCTTCAAAACTGATAGAGGGACCTTCCCCTAGAGTTGACACCCTGAATTGCAACTTCTATTGTTGGAAATTATGTTGTTGCTGTTAAGTGCTGTTGAGTAGAGGACTCCTAGCGACTCTGAACCAAAGACCTGAGCACTGTTCATAGAGTTTCTGGAGGCAAGCCATTTCGGAAGTGGATGCCACTCCTGCTTCCAAGCTTGTTTTAATCAGGAAGCTCTACCAACACTGCCCATGGGTAGCCGTTAATTGCATTTGGCACAACAGTATCAGTGTTTAGCATCACAGCAACCATGAGTTATGTCTGTACAGCAATGCACAGAGCAGTGCTATACCATGTAGAAGAATGTCTGACAAAAAAAAAATTTTAAAAATTTAAATGAGGCCTGAGGGCCGCAGATTAAAATCATCCACCTTGGGCTTGGTAGCACAACTTTTATGTCCGCTAGGCCAATGTAGCTCTATGTTGTCATTGTTTTTGTTGTTAAGTTAAAAATTATAAGAAAATAAAATTTCTATTTGTTAAAGCCAACTACTTGTGGCATTTCTATGATAGCAATAGATAACTGACTCTTGCTAAGGTTTGCCCTCCCCCTAAAGCAGGAAAAGGATACTATACGACTTCCACAATACAAAGCCCAGGTTAAAGCTGCAGCAAAATAGATTCCACATCTTCACCCAACCCTAGCAAGTTCAGCCACCAGCCTTTGCTGGCAGAAGCTTACCGTATGCATATTGTAAGGGATAAAGGAAAGAGTTTTTTCTCCTCTGAGATCAGGCATCAGAAGCACTGATTCATGCCTCCATTCAAGCTCAGGCAGGTCAGCACACACTCCACCTGGCTCCCCTGGGAGCTAGCCTGCTCTGCTCTCTTTGACCCTATTGTGGGACTGGCATCCTATGCCATCTGGACACAAAAACACCTCCGCCCAGAAAAACTTCAAACTAAAATCAAAAGCCAACAACACTCAAACTCACTACCTTCAATGGATCCTGAGTCACAGTGACTGTGCATTGAATTTTTCAAGTCTGTAGATTTTTCTTCAGGCTGTAAATTTTAATGGGAAGGATTGTCCACATTTCTCAAGAGGAACGGCCAGTGAATTTGAACTGCCAGAGATGCAGCCTTTTGGTTAGCAGTGATACCAGTGTTAGGTTTGAGGCGCCAAACACTAATGATTGAATACCTGATGAGATGTGAGATAACATCAAGGAGATAATCCATAGTGAATTTTAAAAAAGGAGGGGGGGCGGAATAATATCATTTATGAAGAGAACAAAAGTCATTATTATATATACTGAGGAGAGTGAAAAGATAAAAATGGATGTCAGAAGACTCTAAAATTTTCACTAAAGGATTAAAAAGCAAAGGGAAGAGATGCAGAAGTAAAATGTTGTTGTTGTTGTTATGTAGTTTGAGAAGACAGAGCACAATATTATAATGGAATGTGCAAAGAGCTGAAGCTAGAACATAAAAAAGGGAAGAACTCACCTAGCATTTCTCCAGCTAAGAGAAATTTAAGCCTTGAGTTGCAAAACTGAGAGAGACTATGGGCAATAGGTCACTAGAGTTCCTCAGGAAAACCTGTTGTTGTTGTTGTTGTTGTTGTTGTTGTGTACCATAGAGTCAAAACCGACTCATAGCTGACCCTCCAGTGGGTTTTCAGAGGCACTTAATTGAACGAGAGGAGATTGCTCACCCTTCTCCACAGCTGCACGTGACTTCTGGATTTCAGCACAGCTTCTTGCCACTAGGCCACCCACAAGAACTGAGCTCCTAGTCATTACTAAATTAGTCTCCACTAACTGCTATAGGTCTCGTTCACATTGTGAATAATCGACAGAAATTTTTAACCCTCGGAGATCTTTAGTCTGCCTGAGGCTTCACCCTCTACAATCCCCATAAATGAAGATAATAACTAGAAGATATGAGCTAAGCAGGGAATCATGACAATTTATTCCAGGAAGTAAGTAAATATCTGTGTGCTTATTTCCAAGGCTCTGTTTGGAAGCAGGAGTGACATCCACTTCCTAAACAACATGCCTCTGGAAACTCTCTTTTGTTCACAGGGTTGCTATGAGTCATGCTCAACTCAATGGCAATCATCACCACCACCAACAACAACAACATACATCAAATGTTGATTGGTCGTTTGGATTTAGTTAAGCTGTGGGCTTGAAGCCTCTTGTTTAAACCAATCAGGACCTGGTGGACAGGTCTTTGTATTTAAAAGTCAATTGGGACTTGACTAAGTCTCCAGTTTGGAGAGTCCTGTGTGAAGCAGTTGGATTCTAGAGGGTAGGTTGTTTTGATTTACTTGAAAGTCATGTGTAAATGTTTGGTGTTTTTTCATTTTGTTAACAATCAAGCTATCACCTGCAGGGCAATAAGATTGGCTCTGGGTAGAGTAAGGTTCAGAACCATTGTTCAATATGAGTCTTAGTTGCCTCAAGGCACACAATAACCATAGGTGTGATTATAGTTAATGAGAGGTGGTCTTACTTATCTTGTTGGTGTTATTTGCTCTAAGTCAGAACTGACCCATTGCTGACCCTCAGTGAATTATCAGAGGCAGCAAATTGTGTGTGAGGAGATTGCCTAGTCTTCTAGCAAGCACCTGGTAGATTTGAATTCAGTGCCTTTAAGATTGCACCTGGTTCACATCTACCAGATGCTCTGTAGGAGAAGGATAGGCAATTCCCTTATCCAATGCTGCTATAAAAGAAATATCACAATTAAATGGCTTTAACAAACAAGTTTATTTATTTAGTGCGGTCAAGTCAACTCATAGTGTCCCCCCATGTACAACAGATCTGAACTTGGCCTCTCCTGCGCCATTCTCATCATCTCCTCCATTCTCAAGTTCAGTGTTGCAGTCACTGAGCTTGAGGGTCTGGACAATGACTAAGGATGACAGAGGAGAATCAATGCCTTCCAGCTGTGGCACTGGAGAAGCATCCCAAACATACCATGGACCACCAAGAGAGCAAACAGGTCTGTTCTACAGAGGGTGAACCCAGGTTGCTTCTAGGAGGCAAGGATTTTGGAGCTCCATCTCACATCTCAGTGAGGGTCTTCATATCTTTCTCAGCATGATGTGAGAGTCATGACCCAGCCAACTAGTACGTACTCTAGGGATACAGTTCAACCCATGACAGGTTGGGTAAGAAAGATAGCAGATGATTAAGAGAAAGCCAA